CCAGGCTGGTCTTGAACTCCTGACCTCAAGTGATCCACCCACCTCAGCCTCCGTATTAGTCTGTTCTAGTACTGCTAATAAAGACATACCCAAGACTGGGTAATTTATAAAGAAAAGAGGTTTAATGGACTCACAGTTCCACATGGCTGGGGAGGCCTATGGTGGAAGGCAAAGGAGAAGCAAAGGTACATCTTATGTGCCGGTAGGCAAGAGAGCGTGTACAGGGGAACTCCCATTTATAAAACCATCAGATCTTGCGAGACTTATTCAATGTCACAAGAACAACATGGGAAAGACCCTCCCCCATGATTCAGTTACCTCCCACAGGTCCCTCTCACAACATGTGGGAATTATGGGAGCTATAATTCAAGATGAGATTTGGGTGGGGACACAGCTAAACAATATCAGCCTCCCAAAGTGCTAGAATTACAGGCGTGAGTCACCGTGTCCAGCCAGGATGGTGAGACTTTTTACATGACTAATTCCTCCAGAGTAACGTTCCTAGAGGCCCAGGAGGAAGCTGCAAGACTCCTCATGATTCAGCCTCACAAGTTCAGCATGTTGCTTCTGCTACATCCTATGGGTCAAGCAAGTCAGTAAAACCAATCCAGATTCAAAGAGCAGGTTCAGCTTCTCAACAGGGAAACACCATGGTGTGCACAGGAGGGGAGAGTTGATGGCAGTCATCTTAGAGACAAGCAGGGTAGACACAGGGGTTGGGCCAAGAGCAGGGGATTTTGAGCACAGATATTGGCTCATGTCAAGTTTTGTAACTTTCTGTCTCTGTGATGTCTGGAAAGTTATTTCACCCCTCTGAGCCTCCATTGCCTCATCTATAAAATGAGGATAATATGCTACTGCACGTGATTGTGGGAAGACTTAAATGAAACAAAGATAAGGCTTGGCACATCCCTCACACCTATTAAGTTCTCCCTTAATGGTAACTAGACTGAGTATTAACTAGAAATGTTATGATTACTCCAGCTCGTCCTTTGGATATGCATTCATTTAGCAAGCAAGCAAGCATTCCTTCAGTGCCTGCAATGTGCCAGGCCCACTACCAGGCACTGGCCTCCCCACAGTTGCAGGGATAATATGTTGAAGGCAGAGACAGTTGGGCTTTCAGATTTTCTGGGTGTCACCATGGGCTCTTCAGAGCCAGCCAGCATCATTGAGGTTTGCAAGATGGGCTTCTCACCTAGGCCTTCTGATTTTACAATATAATTTTCAGCCTCATCCCAGTAGAGTCTCCTCGTACATGATAGCAACACTCCCATTTCAGATAGTAGGAATGTTGATAGGAGCGGCAGGAGAAATGAACCTACAAAAAGATGGGGGTTCTTTCCCCATTCACACATGTGTCCTCAGGTCCTATGGGATGAGCATCTGTTTCCCCAAAAGGGCACTGGTGTGTCGGGATGGGCAACAGAGTGCCTGAAAGGTGTGTCTCAGTGCCGATGGACCCTCCTGGCACCCAGCATCAGTACCACAAACAGTAAGGCTGCAGACAAAAGAGGAAAGGTAACAGTGTCCAATCCTGTGCTATACATAATCACAAAAGAAACTCTGCAAAGCATTCTCAAAACCAAAGCAAGATGTCAAGGAAAATGCAAGCGGAACCAGGAGAAGCCATTAGGTAGAAAAACTTAATCCAACAGTCTGGTCTCTGTGTCTTATTTGAGCAGTTTCCTAATGCCAGGAACTAATTCAAAATGAAAGGGCAGGACTTCTAACATTCTCTCCCAAAACCTTTAGGCTTCCCATAGTCATGTGAAAAACCTCACTTGCTCAAATGAAGGTCTTCTTACTTTAATTTGAAGATACTGGAGCTTTAAGTAGATCTCACTTTCACTAACTTATTTTTAGGTTAATGATAAAGGAATTCACACTCATTAAGTTCCACTGTTACAGCAGATAGAGACCACATGTTACAGAATCACTGAATCTCACACCTTCATCTTAGTCTAGTTTCCCACCCAGAACACAAATATCTGGTACATGTCCCCAACAGATGGAAATCAGCCATCTTCCACAGTAGCATGAACAAGAGCAAGAGCCTGCATCTTCATTCTGAGACTACAGAAGTCGGAAGCCCTGCCTGCCTTTCAGAGGGGACCCACGCAAACACTAAGAGGCAAAGCTGACGGTGACGTGAGTGCCAAGTGTAGGCAGTGGAAAGAGCTCAGCCCTCTTTGTGCAGTGATGGTCAGAGCTGTCTCTCAGGCCTCCTCCACTATCATTTGCTGGTGCGTTACTAATTTACTAGGCTGACTCATCTCTGGAGGCAAACACAGGCTCAGTGTTCATTGCAAGGAAGTGCTCAGCTTGCTGTGCAAGGTGCAGTATCTCCAGCAGGCAGATGTCTGTCTTGTAGGGTCAGTATTTCCTGGCAACTCACTTAAAGGACAACTCACTTAAAGGAGACAGATACATCCTCTCCCAAACCAACTCTCAAGCTCAGAGGCATTTTCCCCACTTGGTTCTGAGACCATCACAATAGATCTGGCATGGATCTGAAATCTGGTTGGTCTAGAACCCTTGGGCCTCTTCCCCATGGCCTCAGAAGGCGCCATCCTGCATCTTCCTTTCCATCATCATCAAATGGGAGCAATCACAAACACATCTCCCCGGCGGCAGTGTGGGAAGCGGGCTCCCAGAGCGCTCGATGAGGGTGGAGATGGGCAGGAACAGAGAGGGTCCGCTTAGTTGCAGTATCAGCATCAGCAGAACGATATTTCTGTGATTTTTGAGAAACCATGAGCAGACATTCTAGGGACATTCATCAGAGTGAAAACTTGGATGGCCGGGCACGGTGGTTCACGCCTATAATCCCAGCACTTTGGGAGGCCGAGGTGGGCAGATCACCTGAGGTGGGGAGTTCGAGATCAGCCTGACCAACATGGAGAAACCCCATCTCTACTAAAAATACAAAATTAGCCAGGCATGGTGGCGCATGCCTGTAATCTCAGCTACCTGGGAGGCTGAGGCAGGAGAATTGCTTGAAACCAGGAGGCAGAGGTTGCGGTGAGCCGAGATCATGCCATTGCACTCCAGCCTGGGCAAAAAGAGCAAAACTCCGTCTCAAAAAAAAAGAAATAAGAAAACTTGGGGTAGACCGTGTCTGCTCTCAGCTGCCGCAGCGACCTTCAGAACGCTCTCTGTGAGCAGTATGCATCTGCTCCTCTGACGCTCTGTGACCTCAGGGTGTGCTGGACACTCTTGCCTCTTTTGGGTCAGACAATGTGATGGTTTCTCGGTGAGAGAAGACCAGGCAGAGCTGTGCTTGGAAGAAAAGGCAGAAATCAAAGATACAGATTTGGAGAAGAGAAGAAAGCTAGAAATCATCTTGAGAAAAGGACTGATTGCAGGTCGGAGGAAAAGAACTTTTCTCCCAGGCGCTGCTTGGCACGGCATCTGGCCTGACAGAATCTCCTGTCTCTTGCTGATTTGATCATAAAATATAGAGTGGACCCACAGGGAGAGCAAAAGCCTGAAGAAATCGCTGGGGAATTGGCTCTGTTGGAGCACTGTTTGCGTGCTCACTGCTGCGACTGTGAGCCGCCACACCAGCATGACTAATGCCTCTCCTCTAGGCCTAAATTAGATTTTGATTGTGTTTCATAGATGTTCACTGAATCACAGAAGTTTGAGGTAAAAAGACCCAGACTTCTCAGGAACACCTCCTGTGGTATGTGCGGGATCATCCTCACAGGCAAGGCTGAAGCGCTCCCAGGACTCAGCAGAAATACCAGTAGTAACTCCTTCCCTTCCAAGGCCTCGGGGGCAAACCAGCTGCCCACAGGGAGAGCTCTAAATGGCGTGGGCTCCTGGGGCCAGTGGGCTGTGGAACCTGCTCCTCCTGGGGCTAACTGGGGATCTGTAAGCAAGTGTGCCCTATCAGTGTGTAAACCAAAAAGTATCTGAGACAAGTCTCAGTCCATTTATTTTGCCAAGGTTAAAGACGCACCCGTGGACCAGGCACAGTGGCTCACGCCTGTAATTCCAGCACTTTGGGAGGCCGAGGCGGGTGGATCACGAGGTCAGGAATTTGAGACCAGCCTGGCCAACATAGTGAAACCCCGACTCTACTAAAAATACAAAAATTAGCTGGGCGTGGTGGCATGCGTCTGTAGTCCCAGCTACTCGGGAGGCTGAGGCAAGAGAATCGCTTGAACCCAGGAAGTGGAGGTTGCAGTGAGCTGAGATTGTGTCACTGCCCTCCAGCCTGGGTGACAGAGCGAGACTCTGTCTAAAAAAAAAAAAAAAATGCACCTGTGACACAGCCTTGGGAGGTCCTGACAACATGTGCCCAAGGTGGTCAAGGCACAGCTTGGCTTTATACATTTTAAGGAGGCATGAGATATCAATCAGTATGTGTAAGAAGTACATTGGTTTGGTCCAGAAAGGCAGGACAACTAGAAGTGGGAAGGGGGCTTCCAGGTCGTAGGTAGATAAGAGACAAACAGTTGAATTATTTTGAGTTTCTGATTAGTCTTTCACTGAATACACAATTTACATGAATAGTCACTTATGCCTTAGTCTGGCTTAGGGAAACAACAGGACAAAGAAAGCAATCGGATATGCGTTTATCTCACACATGAGCAGAGGGATGACTTTGAGTTCTGTCTTTTGTCCACAGGAAATTTCTTTGTGGGCAAATTGTGAGGGAGGTATGTAGCTTTTTTATCTTTGTAGCTATCTTACTTAGGAATAGAATGCAAGGCAGGTTTGTCCAATGCGGTTCCCAGTTGACTTTTTCCTCTATCTTAGTGATTTGGGGTCCCAAGATTTTTCTTTTCACAAGTGACTAATGCCTGCTGTAAACCCTAAGTTGGACCCGGAGTGTCCTGTTCTTCGTAGATTTCCACTGAATCGCTGCTGCCTCTGGTGAAGTAGTTCAAGTTCCTCCCTAGTTCACCTCCCTCAGGGTTCCTCAGCCATTCCACCCATTCTAATTTGCAGTGTGCCAGTAGCAAATGCTTTCTCAATTTTTCTTGCAGAATTTAGCCTACGAAATCATCCTAACCCTGGGACAGGCATTCGAAGTCGCTTACCAGCTAGCACTACAAGCAAGAAAAGGGGGACACTCCTCCACACTTCCGGAAAGCTTTGAAAACAAACCCTCCAAACCCATCCCCAAGCCCCGCGTTAGCATTCGCAAGTCCGTGGTAAGTAAAAAAGATACAGATGTTCTCAAAAACCTTGAACAGGAGGGAAAGGGGCTGCTAACCAGGCCCTTGTGTGGTGTGGGTGCCATTAGAATCCAGGGCCTCTTCTTCATCCTTTACCTTGGCCTCCTCCTGGCATGTGTCCATCATCACCTCAGCCTGGTTCCCACCAAGTCTTGGGGACCGTCTCTCTCAACCTGGAGCCTCCAGAGAAATCTACTTTCTCAGTCACCTGCAGAAACCCTGTGAAGGGTCTCAGCAGCAGGTACTGCCGTTCTTGGTGAATTTTACCTAACTAAAGGTTTGGGAAAGCTTGGGAGCCGTGTTCCCTGGGGCTTCAGCTGCCATCTCATCAGAGGGCAAAGTCTCCTGCAAGCCCCTGGCCTCCAGAGAGGTTTGCAGAGGTACACAATGATGATGTCCTCGGTCCCCAGCTAGAGGAAGCTGGATGCACAGGCTGCCCTGCTATATGCAAGGCCTGCGCCATGGCCCGGGTGCTTTGTCTCCCGCAGCTGAGGCTTCCTGCAGCATGGTGACTGTTCAGAAGGTGCAGCCCCTCCTTCTCAGCATCTGCCTTCCTCCAGGAATTTCTTCCTCTTCCCTCCCACAGGCTCTGCAGACATCCTGTCCCAACAGGCTTGCATGACTTCAAAGCGGCCTCCTCTGGTAGTAGCAATATCCAAAAGCTGGAAGTTTCCCAACCAGCCTCCCATCTGGTTTCTGCCCCGGCTGCCGTATTGCATCCTAGAAACTAGAAACCCTGGGACTCCCCCAGAATGCATTGCTCTCACACCCCCGAATCCTACCATCTGGAACTGTCTCTCCTCCTCCTCACCAGCCCCCACCTCCACTGTCATAGGGGAACAGCAGCAGGCATTTTTAACGTTTGCAAGGAGGCACCTCCTTTTGTGACGATGCAGTTCTTGTTTTCAGTCTTCTTTTGGAGGCCTATCCCTGTCACCCTTCTTGGTAATATCAACATCCACAGGGATGACCCCTCCAACATCTGGTCTCACATTTCCCTGACAGTTTACTTTCGGGACCTTTCCCTCCAGCCCCAGCCATTCGTTCCCGTGCCCATCACTCATTACCCACCATCCCCAGGAGCTGCACCTCCTCTGAAATCTTTCTTCCAACACCACGCTCTGAGCCCCTGGTCCTCCCACTCAGCACCGACCCAACCCAACACACTGCTTCCCAGTTCTGTATCTCCACACTCACACGGCCAACTTCTTTCACATTTCCACCTTGATGCTTCACAGACATCTGAAACTTAGCATGGCCAGGACACAATTCCTGATTTTCCCCTCAAAGCTCTTCTCTCACCATCTTCCCCACCCCACAGCCACTCACCATGCAACTCAAGCCCAAAGTGTACAAGTCAGCCGGGATTCCCATCTTCCCCTTACCTCTGTATCCAGCCCATGAGCAAATCCCATCAACGCTACCCCTAAAATATATCTCAGTCCCGTCCACTCTTCCCCACTTCCTCCATCTCTCTTCCAGCTGGGGCCACTGCCACCTTGCCCCAGGCCTATGCAGTACAGCTCCTTGAGACTCCCCTCCCCACACAGCAGAGATCAGTCATGGCACCCTCTGCCCCAAGTACCCAGAATGCAGTTCCCCCACCACAGTCCTCTTTGATGCTCAGGTCTTCCCATTCCTTGATTATATAATGCTCACTCCTACCTGAGGCCTTTATGCCACCTGCTCCCCACACCTGGAATATCCTCCCCCAGTTTCTGCATGGCTGACTTCATCTTGTCATTCAGGTCTCGGCTACTTGAAGAGGCGGATGTCCTGACCACCCAATCTGACGTAGACACCCAGTCACCTTCAAGCATGTCATCTGCTTTTAATTCTCTGTAGCATTTATTACTTGAGGGTTTTTTACTGATGGCTTGTTTATTGTCTATCTTCCTCCACAAAAACGTAAGTTTCATGCACACAGGGACCCCACCTGTCTTGTCACCACCAGGACCAGGCCCATAGCAGGTACTCAGTGAGTATCTGTGGATGAATAAATGAGGGCTTGTGGGTGGATTTCATAAGCATATCTTTGAGATTGATTAGGCTGTTAAGTGTCCAGGAACTTGCAGAATGTTTTAGAGATTATCTCTCAGACTATTGTATTCATTCTTATGTGGGCTAAATAAATCTGTTCACAGCAGGTGCCTCTATCTGACCTTACCCTGGTCCCCACAGGCTTCTTCCAGAAGAGCACAAAGGGTTAGGTGCCATAAGAGCTCATAGAATATTCATCCAGATGCCTTCAAGGGAAACAGGAAAATATACAGTGAATAATACTGATGTTATATGTGCTTCAAGATCAGTCCCCCTCGACAGGCATTAGTATTCTAGTTCCCTCAGCCCCGGGCATTTCTTGGTAAGAAATATTCAGTGATCCCTAAGAACACATGAGGTCCTCCCCACAACCTTATGGAGATACAGTCAAGGCACGGTAAAAGGCAGCTGCAAAGCTCATGGTGTCAGAGAAATGGGAGAGGCCTTCCCACAACCCCAGGTTCTGAGCAGAGCAGGCAGCTAGGACAGGGCAGGCAGACCTGGAAACACCAAAGGAAGAGGCAGCCATGGTGTAGATCTCAGCCTGGGGCCATTCCTGAGAGCGGACAGCCCAGCCCCGCCCCCGGAGTGGCCCGTTGTATTTGTATGCACAGGGAAGAAAGCATTTTAGGATTTGTCTCAAGGCTCAGCCTGACTGGGCCCCCCTCACCTCCTCACCCTTAGTTGTCTGCCCTCTTGTTCCCTATCCTGCAAACTGACCCCAACCCCTCAACGACCATTTTCCCTTACTTCTGGGACTGTTTTTTATTGCTATGTGATATTTTGACACATGTATACAATATGTAATGATCATACCAGTAACTGAGATATCCATCTCCTCAAACATTTTTCTTTTGTGTTGAGAAATTACAATTCTTCTAGCTATTTTGAAATATACAATAAATTATTGTTAACTATAGTCACCCTACTGCGCTATCAAATACTAGAACCTACTCTTTCTATTTAACCATGTTTTTGTACCTATTAACTAATCTCTCTTCATCCCTACTCTCCCTTCTTCACTTTCCAACTTCTGGTAACCACCATTCTACTCTATCTCCATGAGATCCACTTTTTATAGCTTCCACATATGAGAACATACAATATGTGTCTTTCTGTGCCTGGCTTATTTCACTCAACATAATGACCTTCAGTTCATTCATGTTGCTGCAAATGACAGGATCTCATTCTTTTTATGGCTGAATAGTATTCCACTGTGTATATATACCACATTTTCTTTACCCATTCATCCACTGATGGACACTTAGAGTCCATGTCTTGACTGCTGTGAATAATTCTGCAATAAACATGGGAGTGCAGATATCTCTTTGATATACTGATTTCTTCTCTTTTGTATATATACCCAGTAGTGGGATTGCTGGAATATATGGTAGCTCTATTTTTAGTTTTTTGAGGCCCCTCCATGCTATTCTCCATAGTGGCTTTACTAATTTAGATTCCCACCAACAGTGCAGAAGTGTTTCCCTTTCTCTGTAGCCTCACTAGCATCCATTAATTTTTGTCTTTTTGATAGTAGCCATTCCAGCAGGGGTGAGATGGTATCACATTGTGATTGTCATTTGCATGTCCCTGATGATTAGTGATGTTGAGCACTTTTACCTATACGTGTTGGCCATTTGTATGTCGTCTTTTTAGAAATGCCTGTTCAGTTCTATTGCCTATTACTTAATCAGATTGGGTTGATTTTGTTTTTTTTGTTTGTTTGTTTTTTGCTATTGAGTTTTTTGAGTCCCTTATTTATTCTGGTTATTAAGCCCTTGTCAGATGGATACTTTGCAAATATTTTCTCCCATTCTGTAGGTTGTCTTTTCACTTTGTTGATGCCCTCCTGTGCAGAAGCTTTTTCACTTGGTGTAATTCCATTTGTCTATTTCTGCTTTTGTTGCCTGTGCTTTTGCAATTTTACCCAAAAAATCTTTGCCCAGACCAATGTCCTGTAGTGTTTCCCCAATGTTTTCTTCCAGTTCTTTCATCATCTCAGGTCTTCCCTTTAAGTCTTTAATCCATTTTGAGTTGATTTCTGTATATGGTGGAAGATGAGGCTCTGTTTTATTCTGTGTATAGATTATTCTGGGACTTCTGCATGAGCTGTTTCGTCTACTTCAACTGCCTCCTCCTCCTGTCTTCAGGCAAATACTTGCTGGTCCTTCAGCTGTTCATTTAAATATTACCTCATTCTTTTGATACCATTTACTCAACAAGTATTTATTGTGTGCCTATTATTTACGGGGTTGCCAGGAGCTTTTCTGCGTTTTGGATAAAATGGCAGTGATCAAAATAGACAAAATCCTGCCTCCATGAGCATGCATGGCAGTGGAGGATGAACAAATAAATATGTGATGATGCATAATGGCAATAAATATTGTGAAGAATAAGGTAGAAAAGGACAGCAGAAAAGTTGGGGTGCTTTTTGTAGGAGTAAACAGATAAGGCTTCTAGGAATACAGGTGGCAATGGAAGTGGCATTTGAGCAGAGACCTGAATAGCATTAGAGCATGAGGCATGCAGGTGTCTGGAGAAGGGAACTCGGGCAAGGCAGAGGATGAGCGCAGAGGCCCTGGACATGGGCTTGGTGGGCAGGAAGAGCATGGAAGCTATGTGGCTGGAGCAGAAAAATCAGGTGGGCAGGGGTACTGGAGGTCACGGTGAGGAGTTCGGGTTTTGTTCTGACTGACTGATGGAAACCACTGGAGAGTGAGAGCCGGGGAGTGGCATGGCCTGATTCACCACCTCCATGAAGCCCCCCTGGCTCCCAAGGTGTGTGTGCCTACATGGTGCCCTCTCTTCCCCTCGTATCTCACCTCTCAGCACTGAAATCCGCCTCTGTCTGCTCCCCATCTGTGTGCTCACAAGGGCAAGGGCTGTGCCTCATTCACCGTCACCCTCAGGGTGCCCTGCAGAGAGTCGGTATGCGG